ACCTGCGGGTCCCCAGGTGTTTTGGCCTACAACTGCCCAGGAGCAAACCATCAGAACCAATGCCATGAAGGCCAGTATTGAAAAATCAGCTCATGACCCAAAATACAGACTGTGCAAGGAAGCTGATGAAACCATGGGTCACCTCCTTAGCTGCTGCAAGAAAATCGCACAGATAGACTCAAGCATAGGTACAACTCTGTGGCCCAAATGATTCATTGGAACGAATGTCATAAGGACCACCTGCCAGGAGTCAAGAACTGGTAAAGGGACCATAATAAACCATACCAGGCAACCAGGCTTGACAAAGCTAAAGCTAGGCATTTTTTTCAAGGCCAAGATTCTCCCCTGGAACATAAGAAGCAAAAAGAAATCTAAAAGGCAGGCTTCTGAGCATGTGCAGAATGCATTCCTTCCATAATGGCTTTAGTGCAGGCATGGGCAAACTTGGGCCCTCCAGGTGTTTTGGACTCCAACTCCCACCATTCCTAACAGCCGGTAGGCTGTTAGGAATGGTGGGAGTTGGAGTCCAAAACACCTGGAGGGCCCAAGTTTGCCCATGCCTGCATTAGTGTCTTCCAGATCTGGATTTGTAGTTTCCTGCTTGCACCTACCTAAAGAACTAATAGGATGCATCTGCACTATAGAATTAATTCAGTTTGACACCACTTTAACATGTATAAGATCTTTAGTTCTCTATGCATAAAAGTACTGCTGTCATGCCATCTCTCTTTGGAGAGTATTGTAGTGGGTATGGCAGAGAAAGCAGCCAGCTGGTTTCTGTAGTGTAGTGGTTATCACGTTCGCCTCACACGCGAAAGGTCCCCGGTTCGAAACCGGGCAGAAACAGTACTATGTTTTTTTTTTAATTACCCTTTTCTTTTCTGTTGTTATAATTTCCAAACTTTATTCTTCACGTTGCTTTCTTTGGATCTCCCCATCATAAATAAAAAATACATCACAATATATAATATATGCAAAATAAAAACAAAGACATTAAGATTTCAATCGGTGTATGTTAAAGGACGTTTTTGAAAGCCGTTGTACCAGCAGCCCGGCTAGCTCAGTCGGTAGAGCATGAGACTCTTAATCTCAGGGTCGTGGGTTCGAGCCCCACGTTGGGCGCAAATGTTTTGGGCTTTTTTTTTTTTTTTGCATTTGCTTCTGAATGTTAACAAGGAAGAAGAAAGGAATATTCAGTCTGTTTATTTATATTAGCTGCATTTAATTCAATCTTAATATAAGATCTACGATATAGGAAATGCTTTGGACCAGAAATATTTGAGATTTCATATTTTCCCCCATTTTCTTGAATGCTTGTATTTACATACGGAGATATTCTTGGAATACATCAGAGTAGACAGAATTAATGCACTTGCCTTGTTTCCAGCAGACCTCACAAAACAGGGGAATTCCAGCAAGTAAACTATCAGGGCCAGCTAACACCTTCCAACAAAGGATGCCCCCAGGCAGGAAGCAGCCAAGCTTTGAAGCTGCAAGGCCATTACATGCCAGTCAAGGTGGCCAGCTTCAAGCAGACAATACTTCTTTCTCCCACGATGCCCCCAGGCAGGAAGCAGCCAGGCTTTGAAGCTGCAAGGCCATTACATCCTAGTCAAAGTGGCCAGTTGCAACATCAAGCAGACAAGAATTTTTCTCCCACCCTGGACATTCCACAGATATATAAATCCTATTTTTCCTAGTTTTCAACAGACCTCACAACCTCTGAGGATGCCTGCCATAGATGCAGGGGAAACGTCAGGAGAGAATGCTTCTGGAACATGGCCCTACAGCCAGGAAAACTCACAGCAACCCTAAAACTAATGCAGTTTGGCACCTCTTTACTTGCCATGGCTCAAAACTATAATAATTATAATTATAATATAATAAATTATATAATATAATATAATTAATATAATGTAATGCTTCTTGGCAGGGG